TTTTTACATATGTGCAAGCCCAGGTACCCACCACTCACATCAAGACATTGAACATTTCCATCACTCCAGAAGGCTCTTTGTACCCGCTCCTCAACATTCCCCAGAGGTAACCAGTGATATGATTTCTGTTTATGTAGATGAGTTTTGCCTGTTTTTGAACCTTATCGTACCTTGTGGCTGGGAACAGACAGCATGTACTTTTTGTGCTGGGCTTGTTTAGCCATGTTGCCCCATTCATCCTGGTAAAATTCATGCATGTTGTATCGATAGTTTTTCACCTTTGTTGTTTTTCACTCCTGTGTACACCACAGTTTGTCTCTCCATTCTATTGATGGACATTTGGGTTGTTTCCAGAGTTTGCCTATTGTCAATACAGCCACTATGAACATTATCTATTGTGCATGTTTCCAGGTGGACTCGTAGCTCAACCAGGAGTGGTTGCTGGGTGATAGGGTTGGCATATGTTTAACTTAAGAACTGCCAAACGTTTTTCCAAATCTTTTTTTTTTCCAAATCTTTTAATCTTTCTTCAAAATAGGAAAAAATAAACCTCTACCTGGTTATTTTGCGGATATTTAATGGGCCCTAAGGTATAAGACTTTAAGTCTGTACCTGGAACACAGTGGGCACTCAATAATTGCTGGCCTCTGGCCCAGCAGAGGAAGGGCGAGGCGGTAGGCGAGCACTGCCGTGAGGTACCGCCCTAAATCATTGATCGGAGGAGGCCTTTCCCACGCAGCACTCAAGGCCCACACCCTGCGAGCCGGGCGAGCCAACCTTGGCGCCCCTGCCCTGCATACAGCTACATGCCCTGATCCTGCCTTCTCAGGTCCAGAATGAGTGTCACCTGGCTGGGCACTCATACCCTTGTGAACTCTGCGTGACACCGGACGTTTATTGAGCACTGACTGTGTGCTTAGGCCCTGGGCGTCCAGGAGCGAACTACATAAAGACCCTCACCCCTCAAATTACTCGGCGGAAGGAGGGGGTAGCTTCGCGTGGGAAGCGTCGGGATCGAGCCCACCACGGTTTCTACTTGGTTTCTAGTCAGACCCTGGGCTTCCCCTGGAAGTTGCTCGAGACGAAGACGGAAAGAAGATCATCTGCACTTTCGCGCACGCAGTAGGAAACCAGGTCTCTCCAGAGCGCGCGTCCAGAGCCTCGAGGCCCCGCAAACCAAGGCCAAGTGCCCGCCCCCGCTGTCTGCCCAATGGCCGCGCGGCCCTACCCCCCGCCCTTCCCTCCCTGCAGGGGAGGGTTCCCGGCTGTCCGCGACTGGAGGCAGGTCGCCGAGTCGTGGCTACCCAAGGTAAGATCGCCACCTTGGGAGCTCGGTCCTCTGGACTCAGGGCGCACAGATGCCTTTTGGGGAGGTGGTACGAGGCGCAGGAGCCGAGTGGGACTACGAGTCCGCCGGGGTGCACGGGGCTTGGGGCGCGCGGGGAGCTGGGAAGAGCAGGTACTAACGCACAGGGTGTTTAGGGCAGCGAGAGCTCCGTGTACCGCATCCAGCACCGGGGGCTCGGGAGGTGGGTGGCGCGGGCGCCTGCTCGGGCTGGAGGGGAGGTTGGGCCGGAAGGAGAAGGGCGCTGGCTACTGAGCGCCTCCAGTTGCCTATAGGCCCAGGGTGACTCCCAGGCGAGGCCTAGCCCGGGTGCGCCAATCTCTGGCGGTCGCGCTTTTGGGGGTGGCGGACTGCCGCCCTCCCTTGGGTCTTGGCTGTTTTCGGTGGTTCAGAACAGCCTCCCGGCCCTCCGCGGACTTCGGTCTGGCCCAGGAATTCAGGAATAGGAGCTGAGACTGTGAGGCCTCGCCCCTTCCGGGAGGGCGGAGCGCTCTGAACTCAGCTTCTGGTGCAGTCGGGTCAGAACTCTCCTAGACCCGACGGTCAGGAATTATCCGCCCCACATCTTATCTGAGACCGGAAGGAGGTTCCTGGGAAACACTGGAAAAGACAAAATCGACATTCTTCGTTTGGAGGCTCAAAAACATCTGGAAGGACATCTGGAAGGACCTGAGAACCCGGCTGTTGTGGAGGGCAGGGTTAGAACGTCCTCAGACGTGTCCGAAAGACTTCCATACCTCGCAAGAGAAGAAACTAAATAGTGCATCTTCCCAGGCACACAGTCACTTAGCGACCCCTCTCACCCAGGCAGTGGCCTTGGCCCCTTCCGGGGCTTGAAGGCAGGGGGCTGTGTGAGTCTCACTTGCCGCAGGGGTCTCTAAGCCCTGCAAGGTGTATGGTCAGCTGCAATGAGGCAGCAAGTTCTGGGTTCGAATCCTGTTAGGCCACTGGTCAGCTGTGCAACTTGGCATCGCTTGTCCTCTTGGGATTGTGGCAAGAATTAAATGAAAGAAACTTAGGATGTGCCTGCCTATAGTGGACCCTCAATAAATGTGAACAAATATGGGCTTCCTTTCTTTTTGGTTGGACCATTACATACACCCATACTCCCCAAACTCTTTGCCTCAAAGGCTGAGGCTGGGATGCAGAAGAATGTATCACCTGACTCTCTCCTGGTACTTCCCTGGGTCCCATGGGAGGGAAGGAGGGATCTGTTTGCCACCACAGAGTTGTTCCCTCGTCCCACCTCTCTGATCCTCTTGATTTCTGTCACTGGTACTCGCCCCACCAGGAATGTAGCACCTGGTGGTTGGCAAAGCAGGTCATGCAGCATGTGGCTATGAGGCTGGTGGGCTGCAGGTAGGCAGGACTACTGCTCCATTTCCCATGTGGCAGGGGACTGGTGGCCTCAGCAGCTTCTGGGCACGCTCTGCTCTGCAGCACTGTCTCTTAGAGGTCCCACCCAAGCTTGACATCCAAGTTTCTACTCCAGCCTGCTCCTCTCCTCTGCCCACTTCCCTCCCTGAAAACCCCTTTGGACATCCAATAGCCTCTCAAGCTTCACTTGTTCAAAATGGAACTCTGGAGTCCTCTCTGCACCACTGCTTCTCCCCCAGACTCTCTGGCTTGCTAAGTGGCACCCTCTATCCACCTAGTGCCTTGATTCTTCTCTCTCCTTCACCTCCCATATCCACAAAATACCAGGAATCCAGCCATCTCTTGCCACCTTCATGGTTACCATCCTGGCCATACCCATCATGTATTCCCTGCTGTGGCCTCTTTACTTGTCTTCTTGCTTCCATCCTGCCCCCTCCCCAGTCCAGGATCCTCACAACCACCATAGAGGTCTTTAACATAAATCAAATAAGTCAAATCAAATAAAATCCTCTCCCTTTCCTGCTCAGAGCCCTCCAATGGCTCCCTGTTTCACTCCAAATAAAACCCAAAGTCCCTTCCTATAATGCCCTACATTAGTGGCCCTTCCCAACCTCCTTGACTTGAACTCTGCCCCTCCCCCTAGCTTTCTAAACCTGGACAACTCCAATCTACTTTCTATTCTTCAAACATGCCAAGCTTGTTCCACCTTAGGACTTCTCACTTGCTGTGCCCTCTGCCCAAAACACTGATCTTCTTACATTCGAGTTCAGCTCAAATGTCAGTTCAGAAAAGCTTCCCTCCCCATCCCAGTTCAAGCAGCATGCCCTTCTTCAGGGGCTCTGTCTCACCATCTGCTTTATTTTCTCTGTAACCTTTATTACTGTCTGGAATTCTTATTTATGTACATGTTTTCTGATTTGTTACCTGTCTCATTCCAGTAGAATGTAAATTGGATGGTGGCAGAGATCTTGTCTGTCTTATTCCCTGCAGCTCTCTCCCATGAGAAAGGCAAATAAGAAACAAGCAAACAAACAGATCTATAATTGAAAATTGTGTTAAGTGCTACATAAGCAACCTGCGGCAATTGATTGTATTGGGGGCACTTTTAAATTTCAGGCTTATAAGGCTGAACTACTGTATTGTCAAAACAACTTCTCTGAGCCATTTTAGGGGTGAGGACAAGGCTGGAAAAGGCTGATAACTTGCCTGGGGTCACACCCAGAAGTGGAACTCAGCCTCCTACCGAAAAAATATGTATGTAGGGCTTCTCTGGTGGTGCAGTGGTTAAGAATCTGCCTGCCAATGTAGGGGACACGGGTTCAAGCCCTAGTCCGGAAAGATCCCACATGCTGTGCAGAAACTAAGCCCATGTGCCACAACTACTGAGCCTGAGCTCTAGAGCCTGCGAGCCACAACTACTGAACCCATGTGCTACAACTACTGAAGCCCGTGCGCCTAAAGCCCGTGCTCTGCAACAAGAGAAGCCACCAAAATGAGAAGCCTGTGCACCTCAACGAAGAGTAGCCCCCGCTCGTTGCAACTAGAGCGAGCCCGTGTGCGGCAACGAAGACCCAACACAGCCAAAAATTAAAAAAAAATTTTTTTTTTTAATTTAAAAAATGTGTGTAGCAAGCTTTAGTGTAATGGTGGGCCTGCAGTTATGTTCTGGGAAGAACCTGATCCCAGATCCTGAAGACCTCAGTTCTTTGCTCTTCTACTCACTAGCAAGTCCCCTTAATTCCTTGGTACTTCATTTTCTTCACGGTAAGAATAGGATAGATCCTATTATTGTGTTGGGTGCCTTCTCCTCTTCCCTATCCTCTCCCTCCTACCCCTCCTCCTCCCTCTCCTCCCCTTCCCCCTCAGTATACTCCAAAGGAGCAGCACTTCTAGGTGGTGCCCTTTTGCTATCAGAAGCTAGGGGCACATTCAGACCTGGGGATAATGGGGCAGGAGCCAGAGCTCTCCCCAACAATGACCAACCTGCAGGGCAGAAATGGGCCCTAGGTCTTCTAGATCTGATTTTTTTTTTTTTTCACCAATTTGTTTTTAGGCAAATTCATTGAGGGCCTCTGAGACTTAGCAGTAAAATAGGATGATTAAAGAAAAGAGCAAAAATTCCAAAGAGTTAAAGAAAGAGAGAATTGCCTTTTGTTCAACTCCACCCCCAACTCTGTTGCCATGTGTGGTCTGTTCTCTTCCAGTCTTTTTTCCTCTCTCTCAGTCCATCCACCCTTCATGGTCCAGAGCCCTCTGCCACTTCAGAACCCGGACAGCGATGACGTTTGCTGAGGACAAGACTTATCAGTATATCCGCAACCATCATGTCAATTTTTGCAATATTCATGTTCTGGAGATTCTGCCTTACCTGTCCTGCCTCACAATAAGTGACCAGGTGAGCCAGGGCGTGACAACCAGGCGTGGACTGGGGGCAGGGCTGTGGAATTCAGAGCTTCTCCCAAGCCAGGACCAACTCCTTCCTTCTCTGTTGTCTGTATCTTGCTTCCTATCCTTGACAGTTTTCTAACTTCCAGAATGAAGTGTGGCTCAGGGTGTCCTTTCCAACCTCACTGAGCTCCCTCTTGTGTCGTTTTGGTATAGTGCTCCAAAATATGGCACTGAGATTTCTGGGCTTGGGACCCCTCACCCACTTTCATTGGAACCTTCTTTTTCTTTATCTCTTTTGTCCTTGTTCCTGTTTAGTTTCAATTGCATTCTCCTAGTCATGGGACCCATCCTGGCAGGGAGCCTGGGGCTCAACTTTGAGAGTCTTTGGGAGCCAGACTGTGCTAGCTTCCTCAGCACTTGCTGTGGGCCCCTGGTGAAGTGAGCCTGGCCCCTCCCAGTTTTAGCTGTACCCACATTGAACCCTGAGGCCTCCCTCTGCTTCCTCCATGCAGATACCGGTGGTATGTGAGTTTGTGGCTGGTAGGGTTTGGCTCCTCCCTCTTGTATTTTGGTATTTGTGGGAATACCTTGCCATTTAGCTCTGCAGTAAATGTTTTCTGTGGGTTTTTTTTTTTTTCCTGTAGGTTTTTGTTTCTGCTGTCTGGTTGCTTGTTTGTATGTGCTAAGCCTCAGTTTCCTCATCAGTAGAGTAGGGGTAATAATAGCATTAAATAAGATAATTCATGCAAAGCCCTGAGCAGAGAGCCTGGGACACAGTAAGGCCTATTTCCTGGGCCTTTAAACTTGGGCTCAAACTCTGGCCTTGTCCTGCGCTCTGACTCAATTTCAGATGGTTGCTTCCATCTTGTACCTTTCTAGGTACCTCCATCAGCAGCTGTCCCCTCCAGAGTGGGGAGGGGGTTAGGGCTACCAGGCTTGAGCTTGGTGGCAGGGCTGTGTCTTTCAGGACCGACTGCGGGCCTCCTATGAGCGCTGGGGGAACCAGGGCACTCTCTGGGACCTCTTCAACAGCCTTCGGCGGAGGAACGGCTGGGTGCCTTCCTTCATTGGGGCACTGAGGGCCTGTGAACTGTCCAGTCTCGCTGATGAAGTGGACCGAGTCTACCAGAGCAACCTGCTACGTGAGCCTCCCACCTTGGCCCTTCTTCTGGAACTCCTGTCTGATTCCCTGGCCTCCACTCTCCCTCTCCTCTCACCCCATACCTGCTGTCTTTATCTCTCACCCTCCCTCCCATCACTCCTGGGCAGTGGACAAACCTGAGTGTAGATCCATGCTTTGCCACTTATTAATCTTTATTAACCCTTTGGCCAAGCCCCTTCATTCCCTAAGTCTCAGTCTTCTTTGTAAAATGGGGCTAATGGCAACATTTACCTTGTAGGGCTGCAGTGGATACCATGGGATGATGGCATGTTGAGTACTTAGCTGGGGCTGGGTACCTTCCATGTGCTCAGCAAATGGAGCCTCCTCTAATTTTTGTGGCTGTGACGTTTGCCTCCCACGCTTTTCTCATTTCCTCCCGTCTACTCTCCCTCAGTTTGCCTTCCCTCTCTCTGCTCATCTCTCCCCCTCCCTTCACTGTCTCTTCTTTCTTCCTCATGGGCTCCTTCCTTCCTTTCCCCTCATCTCTTCCCCTCCCACTGGTTTCCCCTAGAGCCTCCTTAGCTGCCTCCCACCCCCCCCCCCCCCCCCCCCG